AGCCAAGACAATTATTTAGAAAATACAATTCTACTTTAATTCGATTAGATCATTGTTTTATCGAATCATGCAGATTCATCAAATTTCCTCTCCAATATTCAACATCAGTTTTAATAAATGCTCATCTTCGATCCAATCAACTCCACTTTCAAGTATCAATCCCTGAAAATTTTGAAATTCCCGATAAATTTCCTGTGGTTTTATCATGACAGCGTGTTGAGATCAATACCTGTAGGACATTCTTGACTACCTCGAGCTTTGATTTGGCTTCCGAGAGGTTCCTTGGAAATATTAAAACCGGGTGAGTACAACGTGATCGGCCTATTGAAGAATCACGCGTTTAATGTACCACTGTAAGCGGTTAAAATCCGTCGAGGTCGACGCGTTCGAATTCAACCGAATATCCTTGACTTTTCTCATCAGCTCTCGGTTGTCTTTAAGGCGGGCTACACAAAATGTTTTAATTATGTGACGACAATGCAATTAAAGTGTAACCATAGATATATTTAAAGTATTGAGAAGAAAAACCAACAGATGGTAGACTGTTGTAATTGCGCTAGTTCGGTTTGCGCTTTGAATAGTTCTTGGTGTGAATTTAGAAATTCGGTCACCAAAGAGTCACGCTCATCCATAAGCCCGTTGAGACATCTGCGACGATGGTGAGGTCGTTAAGGCGAAGAGCACATCATTATGTCAATGAGGACGCACGCTTGTGAAACAAATATTAAGGATACAAGATTTGCGAGGACAATTCTGAATACGGATTTTGGGGATAGAGCGAGGAGAGCATGACGCGTCCGATCTCAATGCTTTTAGACATTTAAAATTCTGTTGAAAACATATGATTAGCGGATCCCAATTGCACCTACTTCATCCGCACCTTTCCAGGGCCTTGTCTTTAAGCAAACATTTCGTCCGTAAATTTGTTAATTCTCTTTTTTTCTTTCTGATCTCTTCTCTTAGTTTAAACTCGCTTGCAGATTCGGCAAAATCTGATGTCGACATACTTTCTGCGTTACATTTTTATTTTAAACCAATTAGCGTTTAAATCTCGAGTCAAATCAATCTATAGTACGCACTTTGTATTTGCAATGCGTACTCCTGCTTTCGTCGTTGAGTTTTAAGCGACTCCAGACGATCCATCCATTTCAACAATTCCTCTTCTTTGCTCGTGAAAATTAATTCCCCCCTGTCGACAGAAGTTTCTGAGAAACCAATATTCGCGTTCAGAGTGGTCTGCAACAGAAGGTGAGCAATTTCGACTATAGATTCTAGAGACATTGCATGTACAGTAACAATTTTTTTTTTCGCGATTTTCATATTTTTTAATAAGATCTACATAGATTGCCGAATTTCAAAACAGGGTTACTCTTTTTTTTCCTCAACACTTTATAAGGCAACTCCCAACTATCCCCCTTATCTCTATGATATCATGGTTTAAGGAATTATAAATTCCTTTTATCTCTCATTAAAAATCTATTGTTATAAATATAGTGTAAAACAATTGCTTTAATTTATAATTTAATAAAAAATTTTATTAATATAAAAAATTTATTTGGCTTAATACTTTCAGGTTATCAAGTATTGTTTTTTTTTTGAGTACTCACAGTCAGGTTAGATCATAGTTTATAAATATATTATCACTTTAATAGTATAATAAAGTACTATATATACTATAGCTTTTTTTTTTTTTAACCCACAATCATGTCACAATGGTGTGTCTTTATTGAAAAATTGAAAATGAATTTACAATATTTTACAGATTTCACAAAGTGACTAATTCATCTGCATACATAAGTACTCTAAGTTAGATTTTGGGAACAATATTTTACTCTCCTAATAGATTAGTAATAACCTCTATCTACTAGGATTATTGCCAACAGTTTGTCACTATTGATTGCCCAAAAATCAATAAATTGCTAAGTTAAAAAGGGGAAAGAGGAAGAATGATTAGAGAAAGGAGACAATTCAAGGCTTACCAAAAAAATTCAAAAATAAAAACAACCTCTTCTCTAAAGAGATTTACCTAATTGAAATAGTCTTCTTGCTTCACTTGAACTTCAAAAGAAATCTTTTTTTTTATCACCTGTGATATCGGACAAGTCAATCCAATTAATTTTTCATTTAAGTAAGCACCAGATTGGGATATCTCAAGGAAAGTATTTAGATCTCAACTTTTTTTTCATTAAAGTTTTGTCATCACTTGAGAAACTTAAGTAAGAGATGGGAGTTTACAATCCACATTATCCATCACTTGGTTTTTTGATATCATGGAAGTTTTCATTGAGAGACTTGAGCTTTTTGGGGGCAACCGTTTTCAAAACCTTCTTTTTAATCATCAATGACATTATTGGAACACATGAATGTGATCAATATGAGCTTGTTTATATTTCAAAAATTAATATGTTTCATGTTGACCAATTACCTTTGGTAAGGATTTGTACTACTAAAAATTCAGGGTCAAATTGAGATAGGCAAAATTCCCCAGAAAACTATGAAAATGATAGTTCTAAGAGATCCACAAGTGACTGGAAGAGGAAAAATAAGTCCTTTTATTATCAAAAATCTCCATATATCTCTTACTTCAAAGATTAAAATAGGCTTTCAGGTATTTCACAATCCGTTCTTCTTCCTTTGGAAACTTTCTTATCATTGGTATTAAAGGTGTTACTTGACTTTTCTTGGTCACTAGAAGTCAAGTTTTTGAGTGAAGAGAATAGGATTTTATAGATATGCAAGTCATATGGGAAGGCAAAGAGAAAACTCTAATAAGAAAAAACCTAACAAGTAGTAGTAGAATAGACTATATTTGAATTTCTTTTAGCCTAACAAATTATCCACTGATCTGATTCAATAATCAAGACATGGAAGATATTGCAGAGAGAGATCACACTATGCTTCTAATAATATTATATGACAAAGATCTTTTCGCAAGAAGCAGAATTACAAAATTTTCTACAAATGTATCAAAAAGAATTGATATAAAGGGAACATCTTTATCACAATAGCAAGTCTTTCAGAAAAATGTAGACCACAAATTTAAAATATCATTAGAATCTTTGTTACAAAAAGAATTCAATCAAGATAAAAAGGTGAATCAGGTAAATAAACTGTAGAAAACCTTTGAGAAATACTATATAAAACAGCCTTTAACAAACTGATAACAAAGAAAACAATCCAATAAAAAAAAAAGCATTACAAACATAATGCTGAATTTATCAGTTATAGAAAAGTGCAATGACTTAAAAAACTTTATAACAAAGTAGAATCATCAAAAGAAATAGATAAGCTATAGATTCTTAACTTAGCTATAGAAAAACATAATAGTATCTATAGTCCAAATCATCAAATCAAAAATCATTGCACCCAGTATAGTATCTCTAATATGTTATAGAAATCTTTGAAAAAAGAAATCCAAGATACTATAGAAGATCTCAAATTCATATGTCAAAGATTGGAAACTAAAAAAAACAAGAGATAGTATTAAAACTGCTTTGGAATAGAGATGTGATGATTTGAGAAATAATCAGAGACAGATAGTTAGTTTCCTAACTAATTGAATAAAAAGCAAAATAGTATTAGATAGGATTAAGATTAAGCAAAAGAATAATGAATATATCACAATACAAAAAGATGAAATAGTAAAAAAAATAAGATAGTATCACTATGAGACCTTTAGAAAAAGAAATGCTAGCTATAATAGTTTACCAGAAGAAAAGAAAGAAGAGTACAAATCCAGAAAATATAGCTAAATAGCTTGATATAACAAACTACTTAAATCAATTTTATAAGAAGAACTAAATAAACACTAAAGACACTTCTCAACAACAAAGCTCTAGAAAAATCTCAAATCAGTTATGAAATACTAAAAAGATTAAGTCAAAAGAGAAAAAATTTCTTGAGAAGAATGTTAAATAACTTTTTAAGATGGGAAGTCACTCCGAAACAATAGAAACAAAGTCATATACTATATATCCTATAGCTAAACCAAAACCTTGGATTATAAACTCTTAAATACCAGACCTATCATTTTACTAGAAATCACAAGAAAGTGTTTCACCAAAATCCTTATCAATAAAATAGAGAATATTTGTAAAACTAATAATATTCTCAAAGATTTGAACTATGTAGGGCTATTAGGAGAAAGTACAGCAGAATTAATTCAAATTCTCAATAACATTTGTGAAGATATCAAAAAAAACAAAAAGGAACTCAAGATATTGCAAAAGCATATAATAAAATTAGTCTAGACATGCTGGTAAAAACAATAGAAAGAATCAAAGCTCCAAAAGGCTTTATAAAGATCATAATGGTCTCTTTAAAAATAGAAAATTCTGTGTTATATTTGAAAATGATCTCATAGAATCAATAGTACTGGAGATGGAATTAATCAAGAGAAAACCATCTTATCATTACTTTGATAAATTTTCTATAATTCTCTCCTTTGCAAAATTCAAAATGATATATAAAAAGAATATAAAATATCAATTATATGGAACCCTGATCTAAAAAAACAAACTATAAGAAGGCTAGAATCAAGACATGCAGCTATAGCCTTTATGAATGATACAATGTGGATAGCAAGATCTAAAGAAGATATGGAAATGATCCTGAAAACTGCAAGAATCTTTTATAAAGTCAATGATTCCTAAATAAATATCAACAAATCAGTCCTAGTTACTATTAACAATTCTAATTGCTATCTGGAAGAAGTGAAAGCAAGTACTAAAGAAGAAGTGATCAAAGAGCTCGATAAAACAGAACAGGCTAAATTCTTAGGAATCTGGATGGGTAATAAAAAAATAGCAATAGAGCTTAAAAAATGAGTACCTAAAGAGATCAATATAGTCATGAGAGTCCTTAAATATAAGAAGATAATGGACAAACAAGCTCTCTATATTCTGAATAGAGTATTAATACCTAGAATAGAATTTAGAATGCAATATAGTATATTGTTCTGGAAAATATGCAACACCCTGACAATGGCATATAGAAAACTTTTCAAGAATAAGATTGGTTTGTGCAGATCTATGCCCAACAGTATAATTCACCATCCAAAGATTTATAATTTGAAAAGTATTTGGATACTACAAAGAGAAAATCAAGTGACAAGACTTTGCAATAGATTAAATGATCTCAAACCAGCAGGAATCACATCAATTATTAGACTCAAACAAGCATAAATCAAAAATTGAGAACCACTCAATTTATTAACCTGCAAATTCTTAAGTCATTTAACAGACAAAGTCAACTTCACACTCCAAGTGATCAAAATTGCTAAAGATATAGAAATAACATTTCATAGTTGAAAATGACAAAATATCTTTGAATGGAAAAAGAAAAATATTTGGATCAAAAAATATTTTACATCAAAAAAATATAAAAAAGCCATATCATCACTTAGAAATAATCAACTGATGTACCTGAATCAGCTGATCAATTAGAAAACCAAAAAAATAAGAGACTGACGAATGCTTTAATTTTAACAAGATATATGCAAAGGATCTATACTGGAATAGTTCTAAATTATAATCAAAAATCTCTCAGGAGAACAACTAAAGCAATTTATAAGATTCTAGAGAGAAAATTATATGAAATAGGAACCAGAATACTTCAAAATAGAACCTAATCG